ATTTCAAACCAGTGCAGGCACCTGGCTACAGATAACATCCTCACTCTCCCTATTCCTCTGACTGGCACTTCATGCTACCACTTCCAGCACTTTCTACACACCCACAATTCTTTACCCTAAACCCTTGAGGCCACATGTGCCTTGGCATTTAGAGCTCGATGCTTTTTCAGAAGGATAACAAGGGTAGGAATGTTGAAATGGCACAACCACTTTGCAAAACAGTTTGGCGGTCTCTCACACAGTTAAACATATACTTACTGCACAACCCAGCAATCCTGCCCCTGGCTACTTATTTACCCAAGAGAAGTGAAATGTAGGCTCCCAATGCTTCCTACTAAAACCCGTCTGCCAGCATTTACAGTGGCTCTATTCATAATCATCCGACCTGAAAGCATCCCAAATGTTCCTCAACTGGGAAGTGGATGAACAGACTCTGGTCCGTCCATCCCATGGAATATTACGCAGCACTGAAAAGGAATGAACGACTGGTACCACAACAACATGAATGGATTGCAAAGGCTGCATGAAAGAAGCCACACTCAAAGGCTACACACGGTGGGATTCTGTCTATATAACCTTCTGGAAAAAGCAAAACTGTAAGGATAGAGAACAGATTAGTGCTAGCAAGGGGCTTTGGCAGTGGGAAGCTGGCTCAAAGGGGTGTTAGGGGGATAATTTGGGGTGACAGACTGTTCCCTACTTTGATTTTGGTGGTGGCTACATGGCTGCATGTATTTGTTAAAATTCACAGAGCTGTATGCTAAAAGGGGTGAACTTGCTAATATATCTCAACAAACCTGATTTTTAAGAAAAAGGAAAAAAAAAGTAACAGGATGCATCTGTGATATGACCTAGATACCCTAGGAGTCACCCACAAACCAGCAGCATGGGCAACCCTTAGAAGTGTGTTGGAAGAGCAGAACCCCAGGCCCCACCCCAAACCTTCTGGACCAGGATCGTCACTTTAACAAGATAATCCTCATGCACAGGAACATTTGAGAAGCACAGCAATGTACACATAACACTCCCGGGGGGGCTGGCACAGTACCCCATTATCAAGCCTGGCTAGCATTTCTACAGTGAAACACTCCAAAATGCACACTGGGTGGGATACATTCAGACTGTACATTAAAACTATAAACTCCGGCCAGTTCGAGGTAGGTTTTTCAGAGAAGGGAAGGCACGTTTGTAATAAAAAAGAAAAAAGAAAAAAAAAGCCATGCTAATTCTTACTTCCCAGAATTTTGCTCTTCTGAAAATGCCGGCCATGCTGATCTAGTAGAAGGACCTAGGAATCATACTGTCCTGCCCTCTAGAGAAGTATCTTCTAGCACATTCTACTTTTCAGGATGGGCTCCAACTTCTCCCAGAGCTCCCTCTGTTTCTCAGTTGTCTTTAAAGAGCCTTCCATTTAAAAACAAAAAAAACCTGGGGGAATGCCAGTCGGCCAATGTCCACAGGTTACCTGATGTGGTGGGACTCTGGGCTTCTTGTTGCGATTCCCAAAACACACAGATGAGAAGCCAGAATCCACACGCGATTCAGGAGACCGCGTGCAAACACACAGACCTGGGTCCATGGCTCTTGCAATGGCCCAAATTCCTCTACCCTGCTCCGTGGGAGAACTGCTGGCATCAGCAGGACTGGGGGAAGATGACATTCACAGTGGCGCTTGGTGGCACATCAGAAGGAGCGAGTGGCATTAAGTGGGGGCTCTAGGAAGGTTGGCAGATGCAACGTCTTGAGCTGACAGATTTGTGCTCCTTAGAAGCCGTCACCAGAGCCTGTCACAGCCATCTTTAGATCAGGCTTCCAATCAACAAAAACATGCAACCAAGGTGTGTGGTCAAGATGGCTTGCTGCCCGGCTCTTACTCCAAGAGCAAAAGGCAGCAGCAGTGTAAATCTGAACACCCACGACTTCCATTTCGGTTTTCTTACTTAGGAAGAGAGAAATAAAATTAATGAGAATGCTTAATTCTCATTGCTGGCTTCAAGCTGGCACTGCTGGTGTGTGTGTGTGTGTGTGTGTGTGTGTGCGCGCAGAAGAGTAAGAAGTCACAATGGCCAAGTGCCTGTGAGCATGGGGAGATCAAGGCTGCACTCTCCACCAGCGTGCCATGCTGTAAGTAACACTTTTAGGCCCAGGACGCATACAGCCAAGTTCATGAAACCTGCACTCACTCTTCCTCCAAGGACAGTGAGGAAGCTGCTTTCCAGATTCAACGACAACCCTTAGTTAATGCAGATTCCAAAAACACATGTACCAGAGAATGGCAGGGCCAAGTCCACCCCTAGGTATAGGCCCAAGAGAAATGCAAAGGAAAAGTTTAACAAAAGACGAATACAGCAATGTTCCCAACCGCACAATCTAGAAACTACCCCAGTGGCCCTCAAAATAAGTACCTGTGTTAGAGTCACACAATAAGATATCACATAGCCATGAGAAGAAACTGCCTAGAACCACTCACAGCAACATGGATGAATCTTGTTAAGCTAAAGAAGCCAGATTCCGAATAACACAGCCTGTGACTCCATTTACAGGAGGTTCAAAGAAGCAAAATGAGCCAATTGCGGTTAGATCAGGGTAGCAGCTACCCTTGTAGGGGAATGACTGGGAGGGGGCATGAGGGAGGTGCTGGGGGGGAAAGGGGACTGGTCACATCTTTTTTCTTGACCTGGGTGCCAGTTGCATGCTTGCCTTCACTTTGTGAACACTTGTAAGCTGGACTCAGCTTGTGCACTTTCTTATACATACATCAGACTTTATTCTAAAAGTTCAGAATAAGTACGTAAACACTTTCTTAAATGGCAGTAGTATTTGGATTTAGAAGTCAACATTCTGCCCTGGCACACTGACTCCTCGGCGTTTCCACCTCCTTGCACTGGCCTGAATTCCCTGCTCCAGGCCCCCAGCTCTCCGTCCTCACCCATCTCATCCTCCCGGAAAAAGCTCAGTCCTGGGTGACCTGCTCAGTGACAGATTGGGGGGTGGGGAGCCTTCCCTTCTAGAGTGAGGCTGTATAATGTGCTTGCTGCCTCAGGCCAAAGAGAGAACAAAAATTGTCTGCAGAGAACAAAATGCACAAACTCATCACAAAGCTACCAAGAGCCAGGAAGCCAAAAAAAAACCCAAGTACCCACCAACACTCCTAAGTCACCTGCACCCCTCCCCGGAGCGATCCCCTGCCTCCCCAACAGCCCTCTCTGCAGGATTCAGGCCGGACCGGGGTGAACTAAGGACACATTAGACTTCCACTTCCTTCCTTTCCTCTTAGGAGATGCCAAATCCATGATCTAGAAGGCAATCTAAAGCCATTTTCAACTTGGAAACCTGTCAGACCAGTGAATTCCTCCCGGACACCCCCTGGAGTTAGCTGAGCAGGGCACACATTGACACCTCGCCATCCTCCAAGCTCCCACCAGTCCTCCCGGGGTTGGGAGGAGGCAGGCAGAGTGATCACAAGACCTCTGAGAGGTTGGAACTTAGCAGGCAAAGAGACCTGGCTCCTGCTTTGGGCACCCATCGTGGTTAGGGGTACACCCCTCCAGATGGGCCCCAGCCGAAACTCTTTCATTTTCACCACCCTCAGAGTAAACTGTTCACACACTCCAAAACCTCAGTGACAATTTAAGCACCCAGAAGCCAAAAGCCTGGCTCAATACTGAGTCCCACTGAAAGTGAATCCAGCCACCACTGTGCTCTGCAAAGAACCAACCCAGGACCACCCCAAGGCCCAGCCCTGTCGAGTATAAGTCAGAACCATAGGCAACATGGATGGGGGTTCATTGCCGAGTCCTGGGGACCCAGGCAGGCCGGTTCATTTTTACACTGAGAGCAGCAGCCAGTTGGAACCTTGCCAAGAAGTGGCACATTTGGGCATGACACGGTGGCCAGCCAGCCTGGGGAGCAGGGTGCGCCCCCCCCCCTTGGAATCTGGGTCATGCTTAGATAACTGCTAGAGAGCCCGACTAATTACCCATCCTTGCCTGCCTACATCTCAACAGATGTTAAGCCCTCCTTAAGGTTTATTTCAAGCAGGCACAGATTTAAAGAAACACCGGGGATCTGCATTTGGATAGCATCTGAACAGAGGAAAATGTGGTCTTCACCTTTCTCTGGATCTTTTGGTTTAAAAAAAAGAAAAAGGCGTTTACCTGCCTGAGATGTCCACATGGGCGCTGATTCTCCTGCTGTCCCCTCGCGGCTCCCAATGGTGGGAGAGCTGAATCCAGCCCAGGGCCTGGCACGGCCCTCTAGGCAGGACCCAACATTTTCTCCTGCCCTACCTTTCCTCCCGAGAGAGCTCATACGGGGTCTTCCAGGTCAGGGCCCCAGATGGGGCCACTGGGATGCTTTCGACACCCCAAAAGATGAGAGGACACGGGAGATGAAGTGCCCTCCACCTGTCCAGGCTAGCGGCCCACTCAGGCCAGTGCTGGCCCCTCAGGGTGAAGGCCACATGTTCTCCTCCTCACTCCTGGCCCTGGAAACCTCTAAGTACCCCCAAGAGTGCGGCCCCCACCTGGGGAAGGCCGGTGGACAGGCCAGCGAGCTGCCATGGGGCTCTGGCTCTGTGGCAACCGCAAATGCTGGTGAGGGGAGACTAAGGATACCCAGCCAGTGCCCCCATGGCTCCCCGGTCCTGGCCAGTGCGCTCAGGCCGCGGCCCCGGCTCATTAGGGAGAACCCCGACCCCTTTGGAACTGGCTCTAAAGGCCCCACCAAGGCCCCTGCTCGACCCCAGGGCCCAGCCCTCCTTCTGGAAGAGGTTCTTCGGAGAAATCCACTCCCCGGGTCCCCCCACCCCAAGCCTGCACCGTAGCTCAACCCCGCTCGGGGTGGAGAGACTCCGCACACTCCTCCCCGGCGCCCCCTCTCCCAGCCCCTGGAAGACCCCCCCACCTCCCATCAACCCCCGGGTCTCCCTCCCAGCCTGGAAGAGGGGAAGCGGAGGGAGGAGGGGGAGGCGCAGCTGCCGGGCTTCGGGCAAAGGATATGGCCATTCGGTGATCTTTTTGGCGTATTTTCTCACCACGTTGTCCTCGCTGAAGAGGAACAGAGACCGGTTGACCGTGAGGCAGTTCTGTCGGACGGGGATGGGGTTGTAGAGGGCCATGGTCCGCGCTCTCTGCGCCATTGACTGCTTGTACATCCTTTGCGCCCCGG